CCTTCCCTTCCCTTCCCTTCCCTTTCCCTTCCTTCCTTTCCTTTCCCCTTTCCCCTTCCCCTCCCCTCCCCTTTCCCCTTTCCTTTCCTTTCCTTTCCTTTCCTTTCCTTTCCTTTCCTTTCCTTTCCTTTCCTTTCCTTTCCTTTCCTTTCCTTTCCTTTCCTTTCCTTTCCTTTCCTTTCCTTTCCTTTCCTTTCCTTTCCTTTCCTTTCCTTTCCTTTCCTTTCCTTTCCTTTCCTTTCCTTTCCTTTCCTTTCCTTTCCTTTCCTTTCCCCTTTCCTTTTCCCCTTTCCTTTCCCCTTTCCTTTCCCCTTTCCTTTCCCCTTTCCTTTCCCCTTTCCTTTCCCCTTTCCTTTCCCCTTTCCTTTCCTTTTCTTCTGTAATTATTTTCATGTCTGTGATATAAAGCACTGCTGTCTTTGGTTGCTATTTCATATTATGCTACTATTGTATATTTTGGAACAGGGGGAGGTAGTGGAGTCACTGTCCCTGGAGGTATTACAGAAACATTTAGATGCAGCACTGAGGGACGTGGTTTAGTGAGCAATGTGGATGGTTGGACTGGGTGAGGTCTTAGAGGTCTTTCCAACCTTAATGATTTTATGATTTTGAGTAGATGATCTAGTAGAATAATTCAGTGAAAGGAAGCTTTTTCTGGAACAGGTTCCTATCTGAAAAATGTTCCTATCCATTTGCAGTTTTTGGATGTTCCGGGATATGCGTGGCAATATGTGAAATACAGGGAGAAATAAGGGGAGAAGAAGAGAGTACTTTTGTGAGAGCATGGTTCAACTGGGGAGATGCTACTGAATGGTTACAGTGACTGACCATCACCAGCTACTACCCTAGTGTAATTTGAGGGTGTAGCTGCAAGAAAGTGTCTTTCTGTGACTGCACTTTTTGCTAGCAACAGTGAATTTTCCTCAGGAATACAAAATATGCGTAAAAACGCAGGCAAAGAGGCTTTAGCAAAATGGTGAATGTGCTAAAAATTGATTCAAACAGACTCTGAGATTTGTGTTGTCTGTTCTAGTCTTGTGGGAACACGCACCCATCCATTTCAGCTATTTGTGATTTTTTTAAAATGATGAATGGCCATTGACAGTTAGCCAGATTCTCAGTACCCATCTTTTAAATTACAATTTACAGCAGGAATTAAAGAATTAGCCCTAGAATGTGTTTGTTTCGACTCATGCTGATCTCAACAGCTTTCACAAAGAAAGAGGATGATTTCCTAGTGCTGCCTGTATAGACACATTCCAAAAAGCTGTTGAACAAGCACATTGGCTCCTTGGGGCACGCCTGGGGTGAAGTGCGTTGAAACAGAAGAATCTGAGATCTTTTACTGCAGGAGATTCTTGTTACTTTTTCATCAGAAAAATCTCTGAACCACAAATTCAAACCCTGGTGATGAAGGAAGAAGAAATGTAAATATTCGCTCTTAAATAAAGAATTCCCTGAAGCCTGCTGTGAATAACATCCACGTAGGAAGAGACAAGCAAGTGTGAGAAGGATAAGTGTTTCTGAAGAAACCAGAGGGCTTTTCAGTTTGAGACTATTTCAGTAGTAAATATGCAATAAGTTCCAAATTATATGGCAAACTCTTAAATAACATCAGTGTATTTTGGCATGGTGGTTGCATTTAAATGCATTAAGCTTTTCAATGAGTAGTAATAATATGGCATTACAGCATTAAGAATTGGAAGAGCTTTGCCAAACCTCTGCTTTTGCTCTATGCCTGAAGGCATGTTTAAAAGGTAATTTCAGCGTGGTTTTAACTGGCTGCAGCATTAACCCAGGAAGGGTGAGGGAAAATCTGGCAAGGACTTATGAAGTTTTGAGGTCTTAGATTTTTGGATTAATGTCATAGTGGGATGCAGCTGGATTGTTACATGAGCAGAGTTTTGTTGAAGCCTGCATGGCTCTCAAGTTTCACAAGCAAAGAAAAGGAAACAAAATAATATATACTACCAGTATATATAGTGTATATATGTATGAGCCAGGACATTTTATAGCATCAGATAATAGCTCAAGAGCCTTGTGCTCTGGTAGCTGCTAATGCTCTGGACTGTACCTCTGCCACACAAGGCCCACCTCATTATCAGAAAATACCCTTTTAATCATGAGTGTCAAGCAAGATCCCAATAAGCTCTGGATCTGATAGGAGGATAGCAGCTATCAGATGGTAATACACATAATCTCCAGTGAACAGAGTCCGAATGAGACAGAAAAAGTGGCTGTAGGGGAGGGAGGAAGTCTGAAGATGGCAGTTCCTGAAGATGTTTTGGAACCTAGTAGATTTTGAGGCTGAGACATTGATTGAAGATGACCAGAACTAGCATTGGGAATGATCCCTTAGAAATTACTTCAGTTGGAAAATGAAACTCCCAAATTCAATGTGTTTCAGCTGTAAAAATGTTTCTCCTCTCCTCTCCTCTCCTCTCCTCTCCTCTCCTCTCCTCTCCTCTCCTCTCCTCTCCTCTCCTCTCCTCTCCTCTCCTCTCCTCTCCTCTCCTCTCCTCTCCTCTCCTCTCCTCTCCTCCCCTCCCCTTCCCCTCCCCTCCCATATTTTTAAAACAACATCTGGATAGAAATCTTTGCTAGAGACAGGTTATTTTTTGACAAAATTTGCTTCTTTCCTTTGGAAACAGAAGGGACAAGGACTCTTATCTACTTCAGTGTGTCCTGTCACAGAGGGCTCTGTTCACTGTTGATCATCTTTTGTTTTGTCTACATCCAGTCCTCTAATTAAGTATGGCCTCTAATTATGATGGCCAAAACAGAAAATGATGGCAAACCCAGGGTATATGTAAAAAATGTGGAAAGTTCTAGATTTTCCATGACAACTTTCTCCTTATGATCAAGTCATACAAACCAAATGCTCTTTAAATCATTTTTTTTCTCTGGTATTCTCTTTAGCTGGTCATCTTTAATTATTGCCCTCTTTTCCTTTATTTATCTGAATTCATTCAAGGTAGTTTCTTTCTAGACTATCTGAATCCATAATTTCTCCTCAGGAGAAACAACTTTTCATAGCTTGCCACTCAAGTTTTGGCAGAAGGTAAAAATGCAGTCATGTGAACAGTTTTGTGCTTTTTTCCCCTCCATTTTATTCAAGTTAAGTGCTTCCTGCTGTAGGACACTTGCAGAGATTACTTACCAGCAAATGGTGGATCGGCCAATCTGAGTATAGAGATAGCATAAGCGAGGCAAAAGTTTTTGTAAACAGATGATATTTGGGTAGTACTGTGTGGTACGTAACAGATAAGAAGGCAAAACAGACATTAAGGAAATTTCAGCAACACTCAAACTCAACCAACTGGAATAGTGACTGCAGCAAGCAGCCAAGTTCAAGGCAAAGGAGAAAGATAAACAATGACCTGGTGGTGATGAGTGAACTTCAGTGAAGATAATGTGATGCCTATTTACAGTAATAACGCTATTAAAGAGAGTTTAAGTAAGAAAGGAAGCAAACTTTAAAAGAGTGCTATGAGATGTTGGAATACTCCTCTTTAAATGCCCCATTTCTCTTCCTGGATTTTCTCAGCTTCCATTGTAGGTGATAGTAATGATTTCAAAATACCAGAAGAGCAAGAAATCCTTATCTTCTATACAGCATTGTTGTGTTCTGCTTCTCCTTACGTTACTTCCAATACGAGAGAAGCCAGTTCCCCTTCTGAAAGTGTTGACAGAAATTTCTTTCCTCCCATTCCTTCCAATATGAATGGTCTCTGAACATAAAAAAGAATTGAGTTCTAGGGGAGAGAGGATAGAGGAAGAAATGAAAATGCACATTTGGAAAATTCTTCCTAGTTTTCACGAGGTTATTCTTGAAAAAAGACAAAGTAATGAAAGATAAATGAGTGAGAATGTGGTGTGCACTTGAAGCAAGCAATATTCAGACTCGTTCCTTCATGGAATTTCCAGGTGGATGTTGAAGCTCTGCATGATACAGAGGATATCTGCAAGTGATTTGATACCTAGTATGCAGAATTGGATTTTAATCCACTCAGTGATGTATGGATAAGAACACCTGGTCAACATCTGGAAAAACTTACAGCAGGAGGGGGTGCAGCGCATTCTTTCAGATAGTTTCTGCCTATTACTTTTCCCCAGAAATTGTTTTCTGTTGTGCTTCATTTTCAAGTGCAGGAAAACAACAATTCGCTTTCCAGATCTCTATTTTGGCAGTTCAGAAAGAGGTAAAAGATGTACGAGTGTAGACGAATAAGAGCTATCTCTGATTTTTCCCTTCAGAATTTCATAAGTGCCTAGTAAATCACAATGACACGAGTTGATAAGATGGCATAAATGAAGGATACTGGCACTAACAAAACCAAGGCAACTGTCCCATTAAGATTAGATGAGGTTGTGTTAGGAGTGTATCAGCGCGTCTTTCTTATGACAAAGCAATAAATAGCTGCAAAGTATACAGACTTATGTTCAAACAGAAGTAACGTATGAGAGTTTGGGAAGGCCATTTTTTAATGTGGCTAGTGTGATCTTTAAAGATAGTAAGTTTTCTGTTGCAAGGAAGCAGAGAGGAAATTAATCTCTCCAAGCAGCATTCAGGAAAGCTTGCCTCTGGTGATACTGCTGCCTCTGAACCAGGAGATGCTAAAGCAGTGGAAGGGCAGGATGGTGAAAAATGTATGTGAAAAAGCACAATTTATCCAGAGAAAAGTTCTTTTTTAGCGTTGAGATTTTCAAGGTTATCTATTCTTCAGCTGACCAAAATGGGTAAAGACAAGCATAGAACATTGTCCAAAAAAACAGAGTAAGACACAGAGGTGGCTTTTGTATTGGCAGTACACGGGTTGTAAGAACAAAAATACTGTTGTACGATAACACTTTTTTCAAATATATCAGATCTCTCAAGCCCTCATTTTGTAATTGACTAGCAAGAACATCCCTGCCCCGGATCCTTCCACTGCTCTGATGTGAGCGATAAGTAACACACTTTTAAAAGACATATCTTTCGTTCAGTTTTTAAGGATCCCTCTCATTTTAAGTAGGAGGAATCTGTCTGCAACAACATTATTACACAGAGAAGTATTGGGAACAAAATGATTTTTGTTTTATGGCCACAGTAACATGACATGAGCCCTGAGGTTACAGCCGCCTGCACTTTCTCCAGTGGCTTTTTTTTGTTATTGTTATGAAGCTATATCCTTGTTATCATCAGAATGTTCTTGAATTAATTTTTTCTCACAGTGTTGCGTATTACGAGATTTAAGACAGATGTTGGGAATCACTTCAGCACATGTAGAAAAATCTTCTGACAGCTTAGCCATATTCAAGTTGAACACATCACCAATGTTAGAAAGAAAAAGAGGGAAAGAGGAGAATTCAGTGCACGTTTGCAAACCAAGTACAATGTACACATGTTTACAAAGTGTAAAACAAAATCCTATCTATTTTACTACGCCATATTTACAAGTCCCCAGGCACTTTTCTTTCTCCTGGGAGTTTGGAGATAGTCTTCAAATGATCCTTGGCTTTACAAGGCATTAAAATAAATTTGGAGCTAAAACAGGCAGATTCTTGGCAGAGGTTTTTTTTCTCTCTGCCCTACACAACTATCAGTGCAAACCAGGGCCAATGTTTTTGGCTGCGAAGAAGAAAGAGCCTATAAAAATAGTACCACAGTGTTTTGTACAGGGTGTGTGGCCATAGTCATGTTACAAGAACGACATGAGTACTATTGTAATAAGCTGTCTATACAAAGAATCTACTGAAGTCGAATGACAGATTTTTAGGAGTAAACACTTATAACAAAACCAGTCTATATGTAGAATTAGATTAGAAAATGGAAGACCAACCTTCTCTAACAACTTCTGAAATGTTACAGTAAAATTCCTTTTTTGTGTGTGTATGAACCGGTTCTGATAGAAGAAAGTAAGACAAGATTTCTCCTTTTGCAGTTATAAAGTAATAGTAGAGATGTTTCCTGGAAACTAAGCATTCTTCAACCTGTAGGTGGCTGAACTTCCATGTTTCAGGTTTGGCAGGCATATCCTTATAGCCACACCCTTGGCAGTCTTCTTTCCCGAGGGCCTGCTGCAATGAGATGGTGCAAGGCTGAGTTGCATCCTTACAAAAAGCAGTGAGAAAAGAAGTGAGAAATAAGAAGTCTCATAAATCTTGTCTCATTCCTGGTAAATAAATTACAGCTGCTCATTTGTCTTCAGGGCCTTCTTTGACCAGCAGCAGTTTGAGTAAAGAACTTGCTCTTCCATGATTATTTAAGCTCTATAAACCATCAATTTAAAAATCAGGTGATTAAATCTTATTTTATAACACCAAGGATATAAGGGAAAACAGAGAAATTGTGCAAAAAGTTTAACTTTAGAATGACTGTTCAGGGAAAATGGCCCAGCAGAGCCTACATCCATCAGTAGTGAAAAACACAGTTTATTTTCTATCACAAAGATATCCTGAAACAAGAAATATTGTCTCCTGAAGTAACCATTTGTTATAGTAGAGTAGAAGTTACACACACACATTTCAAGAAATGTCTCAGTGCTTTGTGCTGAATTATTTGCCTGGGTGAGTAATAAAATACCACGCTACTTCTCAACATGTCTGAACATTTTTTTGACCTTTCTGATCACTCTCCCTAATTCTTCTTGGAAGCATCTTATTTTTATTCATTATGAATTTTTTGATATGCAACATAAGTCCTTGTATCACAAGGAATTTATTTTAAAGAATAATTAATGAAATTGAATTTTCCTAAACAGCAAAAGGCAATAGTCAAATATGCTTGAACATGTGCAGGATCAGATAGCAGGTCGGATAGATGGGCTGGATACTGCTATACCAAGGCAGGAGGATAATGTGGATTTGACACTTCTCATCTATCATCCTGAGGACAGACACACTAAATCTTTCCTAGAACATGTGACATTCACATATCTGGTTTTTGGCCATGCTAGCTTGAGCATGAAGTCCAGAATGGTTTTCCCTTTTCAAGGAGTATCACCAGCTTCCTTTTGAGAATGACACTTCACAGAAGAACATCACACAAAACACATCTGTGGATCAGGTTAACTTAGAATCATGGAATCACAAAAGGTTTTATGTTGGAAGGGAAGTTACAGATCATACAGTTCCATCCCACTTGCCATGGGTAGGGTCACCTACACCCAGGCTGCCTAAAGGCCCATTCAATCTGGCCTTGAATACTTCCAGGGCTGGGACATCCAAAGTGCCTCACCACACACACAGTGAAGAATTTCTTCCTAATCTAAATCTCCCCTCTCTTAGTTTACAGCCTTATCCTATCCTAGACTCCCTGAGAAAGAATCCTTTCCTGTCTTTCTCATAGGTCTACTTGTAGGTACTGAAAGCCATTATAAGATCTCCCCAGAGCCTCCTCTTCTCCATGCTGAACAACACCAACTCTCTCAGCAGCTGTAACTGAGGAAGGTCTGATAAAATTATTTCATGAGATCTTGCTGTCAAGGCATTATAGCAAACGTATCTTAATCCACAATGCTATCACAAAGATCCTGGTGGGACCAATAATGTTTGGCCAAACACGTGATTATGATAGAAAAAATTCAGAATTTGTTACTTCTTGAAATAAAACAAGAAGTTTCTCCTTCTTACAAAAAGAAAACAAACACAAAAAGCTACTGAAGTTCTTTGAAATTGAGCTTTCAAAAGTTTTTTTCTTTCTTTGGTTTTTTTTTTTCCCCTCCAGAGTTTCTTCTGTTGACTCATTTGAAAGCAGTGTTTCAGTTAGTTTGAATGTACTTAGTGCTTGCATAGGTAGGAGCCAAATGCCAAGATGTTTTAAAGATTGACAGCAATTGGAAAAAAAAATAGAGACTGCAAAAAAAGGATCATGCTTCTTCAGCCTTTTACATGAGGTACAGCAAATTTAGAATGGCAAATACATATAAAGACTATTTATTAAAAAGCTTACATTGAATAATAAATAGAAAAGTCATGATTTACTTAAAGAGGCAAGATAGGGAGATAAATTACCACTCAGTATCTACTTGTACACTGTGCTATCTATTCGGTGGGAATTGTTTCTATCTGCAATAAGAATTAGCTGTAACTAGAAACTAATCTCTTGTGATCGTCTGAGTTAGGGCTTATTAAAAAAAACCCGAGATGTTTTTGGCACCTGCAGGTGTTCTCAGCACACAAGAATCCTATCCTGATTAGTCTCTGCCCTGGTACCAGATGCCTTTTATCAAACCAGCAATATTCTTGAAGAAATTACATTTTCTGAGGGCCAATCAACAAGTTCACAAAGATAAGCGTGTGTGAAACAAGTTGTGTGGTGCTAGATTCACAGTGGTCAACCACCTAAAGTCTGCAGTATTAACACAATGCTGTCTTGTGAAAAAAGATGAGCAAGACACTCTTTGCACAGTTGTACAAAGCAAAAACAGTTGCTCTAGCTGCTAAAATCCTGTATTTTGATTTAGGTTCAGATTTTCTGGAGAAAAAAAAAAAATGGTGCGCACCTCACCCCCCAATTGATTCTACAGATTTAAAAAAAATATCAAGAAGCATCCTGGAAAATGCTGTCTATCTCATGAAGGATGCAGAGTTGAATAAGGAGCTACTGGGATTGTTATTCCTCACCTCTGCTGAGATAAAGTTGGCACTTCAGCAGCCTCACATTCAGCTGGGTGCCTACTGCTTTACCCGGAGAAAGGCTGCTCCTAATCAATGGCTCCTTAAATATTAATATATACAAATATTGCAAAATGCAAAGGGAAAAAATGCAACATACTCAAAACAACCTCTTTAAATTGTCAAGCTCAGTGGTCATTCATCTAGAAAACAGTTGATTTGTGTGCTTGGCTCATTCCCTTTCTGTAGTGGTTTGTGCACCAAGGAACCGAGCACAGTCCCAGAAGAAGTAAAAGGATGTACACATTTGTAGTTGTTCTAGCAGAATGGGTACAACTGGGAAAATAGAAAGCGAGTAGTAAGAGGGAATGAAAAGCCATGAAAATGTATACTATTGCTAACCATTCACTTTCCTCTACCTGGCCTGTTTGTGAAACTACAGTCCAAAAAAAAAATAATAATAATACTATAAAGCATTTAAAAATGAAAGTTACAAAATGATTCTGTTTACAATTCTAAACTTATCAAAATAACTTTTTCTGCATTTTCACTGGCTTTTGCTTTTTAAAGGAGGTATTAATGAAATATATTAGAGACAAAAGGATCCCTTATGTTGTATTTTTCTTGCTAATATGGAACTTTTCCAATGCTGTTCAAGTCAATGGAAGGAGTATCTCAGTAACAGCCCTGGTCTGGACTCACAGGAAAATACAAGAAGAGCTGGCAAGGTGACAGAGGAACTGCACTTAATAAGGTCATTTGTAATGTCTCCAGAATGCTAACAGCTGTGTAGTATATCTGTTGCAGACTCAGATCTATAAACCAGGCACTGTAAATCATAGAATCATAGAATCATTAAGGTTGGAAAAAGATCTCTAAGATCATCCAATCCAACTGCCAGCCTATCACCACCATACCAAATAACTGTGTGTCTGAGTGCGACAGCTACATGTTTCTTGAACACCTCCAGGGACGGTGACTTCACCATCTCCCCAGGCAGCCTATTCAGTGCATTACTACTCTTTCTGAAAAGAAATATTTCCTAATATCCAATCCAAAATAAGTTCTGCCATTTGGACACGATCTTTTTCAAATTTCTGGATTTTATAATTGATAACACTTATCATGATTGTGCTTTATTTTCCAAAAATAAAAAAGCCAGAACATTTAAACAGTGAATTCGTAAACCGTATTATTTTGAGTTATTATCATGTTTCCTTTAGTGCTTTGTAATGGTTCTTACCATAGCCTTGAAGCAAGGAACATTAGAGATGTCCCTTAGTGCTTGCCTTTCCAGAGTACTTCTTAAGTTTACTTTTTAATGTTGTTTTGCTTTTTCCAATTAGAGATGAAGATACGAACTAGGGCATATAGTTTGAGTCCAACACTGTTGAATTCAAGGTTGAGACTGACTTCAGGAGATGTTTTATTTATATATTATATATATTCTGGCCATCAATTGAAACCTCAGTGTTTTCTTGTGAAGTGCTAAAATGTAGCAGTTGGTCTCTGATCAGATTCAGCTTTCTTGACTGTTCTTTTTCCTTGAATAAGCCTTCAGGCAGCTTCTGTTGAAAATAAAGCTTTGTTACCATTTCCACTGTGAGCAGAGCTGGCTAATTTCCAAGGAGGCATAGTACAGATTGTCTAGAAAATGAAAATCAAAAGTGAATATTTTTCTCATGTTGGCAGTCTGCTTCTGAAAACGTAGCCTTGTGTGAAGAGGGGGTACTTCATAAAAATAAGCACATACGCCATGAACTACTTCACCAGCATTTAATAAATGATGCAGTTTAGGCATGGAACACATGTTTTGTGTGAATGATTTTCCTTTAGGCCTGACTAAACAATGCTATTTCTTATGATCTTTCAGTAATATATCCCCAAAGAGTTAAGACTTTTGATTGATTGCTATCCTTTCTTTCTGCTTTCCCTGCAGAGTAAGCTTTAGAATTCAGGATTTCTTACTCCCTAACACAGTAATGGGAAAAAAAGCTTTTCTGTTACAAATGTTTTGTAGCACAAGTATTCGCACAAAATAAGTATCAGCCAAAAGAACTGGGAAATTTTACCCAAAACTTTGCTGAGAGGTAAGCAATAGTAATCAACTAGCACATTATCTGAAAAGTAAATTATGCATCCAGCCAGACTAGCTATGCTAAAATAAGTGGCAGAAGATGTCAAGATTTTTTTCTTTATGACCTTCATTGGTATGTGTTGATTTTTTTTGGCACTGCCCCAAGCCCCAAGTGTATACAGTTGAACAAGGGGAAAAGGCAGCAGATTTTATTGATTCATATTATGGCTTGCTGTAATGTTCTGAGGGAAAACAAAGGACTTATTTTAGCCATGAGGTTCTGTAATATATATCTAACTGATATAAATTATAAGGTTGTGTCTCCTTCAGAGTATAAAATATAAGGTTTCTTCAGAGAGAGCTTGAAGTAAAAAATGATTAAAGCACTATCCAAAGTAGACAAATTCTTCAAACAAACTCAGTTATTAAAAGAATACAAACTTCTGCATGAATTATTTGTTCCTGTTCAGTTTTACCGAAGGCTGCTAACCACTCCTAACTCTAGATGAAGGGTGAGTTTATACTGAAGACAGCACCATGGCACGTGATGTATTGCAGAATGGATTAAGTAACTTGACTCAGTTTTTCTCCTCGCTACCATTTCCAGTCAAACTTCTTAAGAATGTGAAACATCATTTTCTCTGAAATTTGGATTTCTTTTCAGTTTAATTCAGTGTGGGGTTTGTATGGAGCCAAATAACTTCCACAGATCCCTGTCTGTCTCTGAAATATATCTATTGATGCCCTTGAGCACCAGCAGAGCACAATGCAGCAAATGCACAGAACTGTCACACTGCATGATGAAGCTAGTTGTATATGGGCAGCCCAGTGTGGCAGATCTGTTTTTGACATTGATCAAAATGTAAGACCCTTGTCAGAAGGAAGTTACTGCAATATTTCAGGGTTTAAATATTTCTTTACCATGCCTCCAGAGAAACAGGCAGCAAACACGGAAGGCTGAAGTTGGCACTGCTGCATAGTATCCAGAATCTCTGCATTTCAAGGACTTGTTACATATGGGAGATCAATGTGTTGCCCTGGGGCAGGCTTAGAGTAACAGACTACACAGGGCAAGTTGAGTCTGGGTGCCAGCATACTGAACTGTTGATAGCCATCTACAGAATTTCTTAGGAAAAACTAATTTGTCACATGTACTATTAATTCGGGGACTGGAATCAGTATGTGATCAAAGTGAAAGGACTCCTAACACAGTCAATTGAAAATAAATCCCAAAGTTATACACTCAGCACGAGGCACTGTTGAATTTGCCAAACTAGCTACCTAAAACGTAGCTTAAAAGAGCACGAATATCTCAGGTGAATTCTGGCTCACTGAAAAGAGTGGGATTTTTGCCGTTGATCTGAACAAGGCTAGAATTTCTCTCTCATTATAGTACCTCCCCTGCATCTTTTCATTTTATTAGCCATTCTGCTTGCTGTTTGCATGCATTTTTGTTTTACATGAAAAGATTATACTATATCAGAACATTATATTTCACAGTTGGCAGGACAGCCCCCCGTCCTGCAACTGAAGTTGTAGTTGCCTGGGGGGAAGCAGTACATGGCTGATGGCCAGCAGTGCCGAGTAGCAGTTACAAAGGAAGTGGAGCAGCTATGGAGCAGAGGGGGCCCTGCCTTGCATTCTTCTCAGTGGGAGTCAGGGAGAAGCTATAGCCATCTGTGCTCATAAGTGCTGCCTTTATCTGTTTTTGCAATGGTAAAGCTGTCTGATGCTGGGGTCGTTCAGGCTCCTTTTTTGCAGTTGATACCAGCGTGAGCCGCAGCCATGTGAGTCTTCCTCCAGCCTACTCATGGTGCATGGTAACTATGGATCTAGAGTGCCTGCTGCTGCTAAAGCTGGGAGATCCCTGGTCTGTGCTGCTTCTGCTGAGGTTGCTTACAGAGATGTTTCACACACAGTAGCTGATACTGCACTGGTAACCGAGGAAACGCAAGTAGCTGCACACAAAGCACTACTTCCCTGGACCAAGATCAGCCTTCTGGCTTATGGAAGAAAGACTCCATCTCTTCCTCTGGCAAATCTTCCAACATATCCATTCCAATTTTTATTTCTTTACGAGGGAAAAGTTGTCTCTCCTAACAACTCTACTTACTGCTCTGCAAAAAGTACACTCTGTATGTGCCGCTTTTGTTAATCATTTCAAAGAAGCTTTCCAAGACTTTGAATGCATCAGCTTTCTGGGGCCAGGCTGACCTTTCAAAGGCACTGCCTAGAATGATTTTTTCACCCCCTTGCTCACAGCAGTGGTCCCAACAAAGCTGCAGTCCTCTGTGGCATTGCACTGTATCATGTTATATTTGCAGTCCTTGTGGAAAGTTTTTTTCCATATACTTTATCCAGAGTTTAGTCATATATTATCTGTCTGACAACTCAACACCTATAAAAATTTATGAATTTGTATTAAAAACAATACTTGATTATGTCTGTGTTTATGAGGCTTCCCATGAGCCCTATATTCTTCTGTTGAATCTAGCTGTAGCCCCTCATAATAATAATAAAACAGACTATATTTCACCATTTCTCTGTTAGTGTAACTCACTGCTAGCAATTACAGTAGCTACCAACTCACACTTCTGTTGATTTTAAGGATTTGCTGCCTTGTAAGGGTCTTTGCTGATCTAAACACATATAGACACATATTCAGTGGGCCTCCTTAACCATGCTCAAAATAGCTGTCAGAGCATTTTTCAAAGAACAACATTAAGCTCTTCACTCAAAAGCGTGCAGTAATTCATGATAAATGCATTACTGTGGGTTTATGTACTGACAGTAAGAAGAAAATTGACATTATAAGGTCTATCGCATTTGTAAATGCTGCAAGAATAAAGACTACACAAAAGAAAACACAAATACAATTCCTCTTCCTATAATAACACTCTTATTTTCATTACTTACCCCCCTGACTTATCCTTAAATACTTCATTTGAGGCTTGATAGAAGACTGGTGTGGTGCACCAGCTGCAGCCCATAAACTTAAGTAAGATTTGGGCTGGCCTCTTCCTAGGAGAGTGTTTCACCAACAGTCAGTACTTCATAGTCTAACTTCGCAACTGTGTAAGTATTGTATTGTTACTATTGAGTTTGTTAAGTCAAAATAACATACAAAGTCCTAAATTTGAAGTAAAAACCACTTTTGTCTGCAATAGAAGTATGAATAATATTCCTTCTAAGAATGAAAAAAAGATGTTTTGAAAAGTTATTCAGGTAAATAAATTTTCATATGTATAAATGTATACCTGTAGTATAAAACATGCTAATTACTACTTCAGAGAGGCTACTACAGATGAAGAACACAGATGGTATCAAATAGTGTACTTGAAACATAGGAGCAGCCTTCTTGTAATTTCCATTTCTTTACTTCCTGCAACACCTTGCTATAACATTTCTGTAATATGAGAACTCCACAGGGATAGGTTTTGCTGGTTTGAAGGATGAGCCTGATAGAAACTGGCTCCGCAATTCATAGCTGCACATAAATTTACAGCTTCTAGCCATGAGTGTGCAGCATATACAAAACTTTTAGCCAACAGTTAAACAGTATTGTAACATACTTTATGAAGAAGTAGAATTATGATGATTCTTGAATATTTTGGCTCCTTCTGTGTCACACTGTATTTCCAGGCAAAGAACAGATAACTTATGTATCAGTTTAAATGATTTTGAAGTTTTTACTTCAACAGATGTAGATAACACAAGTACTACTCCCCAAAGACTTTCTTGTGTCTCAAAATACCTCATCTGACTTAACTGTCTCAAGATAATGGTGAAAAAACCCTTCATAACGATAGGCCATACTCTTGTAAATCAGATTAATGTACACTCACATAGAAAATATTCCATTTGCAAGTCTTGAGACTGCTGGTGTTGCAAATTAATTTTTTGCATGGTTTTACTTAGCAGCAATTTGGTTGTGTTAATACTTAATTGTAAATCGCAAAATTAGATTGTATGCTATTTAGTAGCACTTAATTATCATCTAATTAACAAAGTGATTCAGTGGATTTTGCTACAGTGAGCCAGGTGCAAGACATTGCACTTGGATTCGTTGAAGCTCATGAGATTCTCATGGGCCCACTGCTTGATCCTGTCTAGGTCTCTCTGGATGGCATCTTGTCGCTTGGGTGTGTTAAATGCATCACAGCTTGGTGTCATCCACAAACTTGCTGAGGGTGCACTCAATCCCCCTGCTGATGTAATTGATATCAAAAGATATTAAAGATAGAAGATCCCAGTACTGACTCCTGAGGGACACCACTTGTCACTGACTGCCATTTGGAGCTCACACTGAGCTATCTCTGGGTACATCCTCACAAATAGTTCCTTATCCACTGAATAGTCTGCCCATCAGATATACACCTTTACAATTTGGTAGAGAAGGATGTTATAGGAGACTGTGTTAAAGACCATACTGAGGTCAGGATAGATGATATCAGTGGTTCTTTCCTACAGTACTGATACAGTTATGCTGTCATAAAAAGTGACAAGGTTGATCATGCAGGACCTGACTTTGGTAAAGCCATGCTGATTATCCTCATATCGACTCCTTCTCTTCTACATGCCTTAGAATAGCTTCCAGGAGGTCCTGCTCTACAGTCTTCCCTGGCACTGAGGTTAGGCTAACAGATTCATAGTTCCCTGGATCATCCTTTCTACCCTTCTTAAGAATGAGTGCTATGCTGCCTTTTTTTCCAGTCACAAGGTTCTTCACCTAACTTTTCAAATATCATTGAGAATGGCTTGGTGACTACATCAGCCGATTCCCTCAGGACTCTGGGATGCATTTCATTGGGACTTGTAGATTTTTGGCTGTTCAGGTTCCACAAGCAGTTCCGAACCTGATCTTCTCACTTACAGTGAGAGATACATTGCTCCTCAGTTTCCAGGTTTTTAACCATCCATTCAAGGGCTGTGTGTAGAGCAGTTGCTAGTGAAGAGTGAGGCAAAAAAACTTGTTAAATACTTTGGCCTTTTCCTTGTCTGTTGATACTAGCCTGCCAGTGTTGCTTATTAAATAGGACACTTTCCTTTTCTGCTTTATGTACCTATAGAAGCCTCTCTTATTTTTCTCTGTTCCTCTTGCCAAATCCAGCTCCAGTTTGGCCACGGCCTTTCTGACCCCATCCCTACACAGCCTACTGCTATCTCTATACTCCTCCCAGGTTACCTGCCCATTTCTACTCATACAGATGTATTATAAAGATGTAGCCACCTGATTTGAAATACAGCACACTCTAGCTTGTGTTTTTGTCCTCTTTCTATCATCTTTACCCTCCTACAATTCAAGTCAAGGTAGTTTCCACAATGCACTGTGAAAATCCAAAGGGATATGAATAATTGCAAGGCTGACTTGCAGTCTAGCTATATAACTTGCAAATACAGTTTCACTAACATAAATCATATTCCTGCCTAGAAAATAATAACTAAGTTAGTATCATTACATTTTATAAAATCTGAAGGACTAATTTCAAGGTCAAGATACAAATGGCAGTGTATAATCAAAGAATATTAGGATGCTATAATCACAAAATAAACAAGAGAGTTAGGCAAAGCAGACTGTGATAAAAAAAGATAATAAATAGAAGGCTTACCCCTATCCTGGGCTCACCCACAATCTAGACAAGATCCTTCCCCACTGGTAGCCAGCTCTTAAATAGGTCTAGGAGGGCTGGAGCCTGGCTCCACCCCTTCCGGCAGCACAGGTGAATTGCCTTCATGTGCTCCTCTGGCTGGAGCATGGCTTGCCTCAGGTGATCAATCAGAGGTTCAGGCCATGTCTTAGCAGTTCCCATACAGGCAGACAAAAAGCTTCTTCTTAATTATTTTACTCTTACATACTTATTTTGCTTTTATCACGCCATAACTGTTAACTAGAGACAGCTGTAATTTAAAATGTGATCCTATTTCCCTAGATGAAAACTGGAAAAAACAGTATTATCCACTAATTTATGTTTGCTAGTAAGAGTTTGTAACATCTCCACCTTGTGGTTATTTTTCTGCGTAACAAGTCTAGACTGCTGCATCTGAAAGGATAAGGCATTTTGGCTCCAGGACTGCAGCTTCTCTGAAAAATATGGTACAATGAGGGACTTTAGCTAAGAGATTTTTGTATTTAAAAAATGCCCTTCGCACGTAGATTAGATTAGAATTAGATTTTGCTTTACGCTTTTAACAGACATTACTTACATTTTATACTTTTATCTGAAAATGCCCTTTTAGAAGGTCACAGAGTGAGACAGTGATGAAAAAGAAGAGTAATGCAGACTTTCTGTTTTACAGTGTCTGGCATTTTACTGTAAAATGTTCCATATCTCATCTTGAATTAGCGTATTGCAATACCAGGAAATTGCCTACTCAATTCTAACAAACCTCAGCTCTTTAGGATTGTCTCAGCACTAATTGCAAAAGTTCAGCTGTTTTTTTTTTTTCTTTCTTTGCATTTTCAACCTGCATATGTTGGAGAAAAAGTTCCTATGATGTTTCTGGTATTTCCCTGATTACAATCAGACAGAAAAAAATAGGACATAAGCTCTTTCATAGTCTTTTGGTACTTCCTGCACATGCCAGGTTTTGAAAATGCCAGAGCAGGAAAATGTATATATGAGTATTTATGTTGTCCAGGCTTTCTAAACTGTATGAAATATTTTCTCTCAATGTTTTATATGAAGGAGTTGCCACCTGTTTTCCTGCATTCCTGTCTTCATTTTAAGCACTATTTTATATTGTCTTTATTTATTATTTATGGCTATTTTACCTTTCTGCAGATAAACTTTTCCTGATTTTACTCTAGTCATTGCAATTACTGTTATGTTGTATAATATGTGAAAATCCACTCAGCAGTCTTTTGTAAGGCAAAATGTAGAGAAGTATGATAATATAATTTGACACAATGGCATGAATAGAAACAACACCATTCCCTTGTCCATTTGAAGAGAAATGTCACTGCTGGAAAAGCTATATTAACTCTGGTCACTGACCTTTGTTTTTGTTACATTTCTTTGTTTGTTTGTTTTTAATTCTCCTCACTCCACTAAAAGTAGCACCTTTATTTAAATTGCAAGTGCAAATCCTGTCTGTGTAATGGTAGAATCTGAGACCCACTGTTCCCCATGGCACACTGCTGATGCTCCTTTCTATCTCCATGACTAATTCTAAGACTGACACAGTGGTATCCAAAGATCCCTTTCTGTTTTCCAAGCTGAGTCCAGATTCTGAACTTAATGGAACCATGAAGGAAAACAAGTATTTTTTTATTAGTAGAAAAAATGAAATGAGTGAGATGTCTTTCTTTCTTTCTTTCTTTCTTTTTTAATCTGATAGAGATCTTCTTTTCTGTTACAGTAGTCCTATTGAATATCTACCCAAACAAGATCTGTGCTCAAATTCAGCTCTTCCAACTCCATGACTGTTAACAAAAGACTAAGAAATGAGATTTTCCTTATTTTAAATAACCTTCTGTGGGCACCAAAACTTATGTGGTGTTATTCTTTGTGGTGTCCTTGCATCTGTTTTGGTATAAATACTGTTGTATATTGTGAGATTTTATAGTGAGGTCCACTGTAGTCAGTAGAGGAAAGCAGATGATTTGAGGGCATGGATAATGACTTCATGAGGTAGTCATGTTTTGTAGATCACATATTATGAATGATGCTTAAAAGTTCATTTTTCCTCTACTGACTACCACAAAGTACACAGAATATAGATTGCATAGCTCAGATAGAGCATCTGAAAAGTGGTCTGCAGTTTAAACTAAAGAAAGCATGTTCCAGGTGACTCATCTCAGAGGATCCAAGTTCTCACCAGTGAAGAAGATGTGGTAAATTGTGAAAGATTTCAGCTCCAGAGCTGCTGTGCCATCTTCCCTGTCCACATTTGTCCCCGTGTCCTGGCTCCATAGCATGGTGTGACCCTAACTGTGGCGTCTAGAGCCATCCAGACCAGCCAGTAGTCTTCTCAGGATTGGGTGATGATGATAGGAGACTAAACTCAATTGCAGTTGATTTCTGAAACAGAAAATGTAGTTCTGCTGTGTATTTCTTCATGCACTGTAGAGTTTTGATCACCATACAGTGACTATACTGTGCTACCCTGCTTCTTCTGCATGGTTTCAGAACTCTGCTGCATTAAGTAACCATGGAGCTTTGAAGAGCTGATCAGTTGAGGGATAGGTGGGCAAACTTTAAAAGGCTGAAGAAGTTTGCTCAAATAACACATTCAGGTACTTAGTGGGAAACATTTGGTCTGGAAACCAAACTTCGGTGCCTCCTTGTCTCAGAAATTAGAAATGCTGAGAGGAAACCATACATCTCAAACTTGTGTTCCACCAAAGTTCAGTGAAGAATTTTTGAAATGTTAAACTCTTCAGCATGTATTTCCAAGAGGGAAAATTTCTCTCCATTATTTTGGAAAAAGAAAGCCTGCATACAACTAATTAAAAGCAGTGTGTAGCACATGTTGCTGTAGAGCAATTGTTGCCAAGCCCCCTAGGCAGTCCTGAAGACCTCAGGCATCTCATGGGCTCTGGTGGGTGAGGGCTTGTGCTGCTGCTTCATGAGCAAGACAGCCCTAGCAGGCCTGACTCAGGGTGTGTCCTGGGTGAAGCCAGCTCGAGCTGTACCACAGTGAAGGCAGCAGAGCTTGGTCCCAAGTGCTTCCAAACAGGAAGGATGCTTCAGCCTGGGCAACACGATGCACAACAGGCTGTCACCCCTGTATCCACTTGATATTGACAATATGTGGATGCAGTGTTCATCAACTGCCATAGCATGAGCTAAAGTTGACTTTGGTACTGACTGTACTTGTTTAGCCACACCCTGTGCAAGTCTTACTCATCATGTAGACCAAGAAATGCTTGGAATGGTCAAAACTTGAAACATTTATTTTTAGTCAGTGACAGCATCTCAGTTTTTACAGGGCCAAGGGCTGTGTGGAAGCACAGCACTTTATTATGCAAAGTACCAGATAAGGAAATAAAAGTGTCTCTGGTGTTCAGTATGATCTGACAGAGAGCATATAACTTGTTCCCTGATTATTTCAGCCATCTGTATAGTAGTAACTCCAACATTTCCCTTCCAAGCTGTAATACAGTTTAGCTGATCACCTACTATAGCACGGCTTGCAGTACTCGTGGGGAGTGACATTAAATCCAGTAGTTTGCTTTCAAATTTTTCCTGTAATATCGAACTTTTCCTTTGGAATTGGAAAGAAGTTATCTTTGAAGAAATTGCTAGCATGACATGCAATCATACTGATTACACAGATTGAAATCTATTATCTCAGTTCTTACTGAAAGCAACTCCCTGCAACAAAGAAAACACAAGCACTGATTTTGGGCATTTATCTCAGATTCAAATTTCATCTGCTAGCATACATATTTGGAAGTATTTAAATGAACATAAAGTTCAGGACTTGAAATGTTCTGAAACCGGGTTCTTACACTGGTTATTGTAGAAGCCCCCTCCAAAAAAAAAACAAAAAAAAAACCCAGCATTCCTTTTGTAATTAGGCAGAGCAGCTATTTATACTGCCAGCTGCATTCCAGTATGAAGTGCACTCATAGCACCAATTTAAAGAGCATATGTTGGAGGGAAATGCACAGAGTTTGTTTAGAAAGAAGCAGGGAGTAAAATTTGCTGAAGTGCCTAGGTTCCTTCATGGAATTAGACTTCAAGGACACTCAGTTGACTTTGAAAATTTTACCCAGGCTTACCAGAAAGAAATGACGACTTTAAGGTGGCTGTAATCCTCTGCAGTCACAAAAATTCCTCATGTTTGGGATAGTTATTCAAGTTGCTCAATGTACTTCCCCTTATTACTGTGTTAGAAGAAGGTCCTATTTGATTTAAGTGATTTGCTTTGACTTCAATCCTTCAGCAATAGGATTAAGACCTGAGTCATTTGTGGGTGAAAGACTCAAATTTCTTAACCCCCTTTCATGTGAATATTTTCTTTCTTCCTGAAAATTTTAGCTTTTATCCTTACTTCACTTTTGCTATATAAGTTGCATTATTAAAAAGAAAAGCCTATCTTTAGGAGACCAAAGCATGTTTACTCTAATATTTCCGGTTTCTACCAGTCCAAAGTGGAAAATGCTTAAGTCTGCCTTCGAGTTTATTGTACATTTTATTGCATAGCTGAAACCAAATTCTGCATGGAAACATTCTATCAAGTGCCTTATTTTTCTACACATTCCTATAGGACCTGAAAAAGAGGAGTTTGTCAGCTAAATTGAAAACATACTAATAAAGTTAAAAAGTTAATGGGTGACATTCGCAATTTCCCAGTAATTTTCCTAGTGACTTAAACTCTAAATAACTGTGTATACTTCTGCTACTGTTTTCCTTTCATCTTTGTATCAAATGACATTCAGAAGAATTAGTGCCGGATATCTACCATTTGTCGCACACCTATCAAATTATAGTTTTGTTAGGCAAACTTACAGTTCAGGTGGCCAATTCTCTGTTTGTCTGGGAGGCTATTTTCAATTACTTATAAGTAATAATGTGTGTTTTATAACTCAAACCACTTGTATAAATAGAGCTTAAAACCTTGTGACTGAGGCAATAAAATAGAAGCAAAGGTTTAGCTGTTATAACCTACTGTGCAGTCCATTTAA